GAGTGTTTCATGTACATGCAAACGTCAAAGCGTTTGTACGTTATTTGAACTATTCATCATCTAACACAACTCCAATATTAAATGTGAGCATGGAACAATGTCTTTAGAATATAATCTTTCAAATAACGGTCACATAAAGTGAAAAAAAAAATTGTTTTTCCGGGGACGATTTTAATAATGTGCAGTAAACCGACGAAACCACATGTCGCCACTGAATCTAGCTGCAGATCTGTAGCATTATGGTTTTATGTATTTGTCTTTGACCATAACGCAAGAGATCCCGTAATGCAAAAAAGGTGCAATTTACGGCGCAATATTTTTTGCGCACTTTTGGGGGGAATTTCTCCACTTTCTAGCATCGGTCAATAAACTACCTTTCACTCCCTAATTCTAGGCACATTATTTAATCTCTATATTTTATCCATCTACCTTTCCTTTATAGTCGTCCCAACAAGTGATAAACTCGCTCAATTAAAATTCACCTCAAGCGAGTTTATTAATTGCCTGTAGAGAAAACTATAAATGGTTAAGAGGTGGATAAAACATACATATTGACTACAGAATGTGTCGAGAATTAGGGAGTGAAATGTAGATGATTAACCAATGCTAGAAAGTAGAGAAAAGCTCCCCAAAAGCGCACAAAAAATACTTAGTATTGCGCCGTAAATTGCACCTTTTTTACATTACGGGATAGCGTTATGGTCAAAGAACCCGTTATGGTCAAAGACAAATACATAAAAACATGTAACGCTACAGATCTGCAGCTATGTACATTGAATCGTAGACACGCAGTAGACTGTCATGCTTTGGGACTCATTAACTTGATTGATGAACGGGTGTGACGAAGACATCGTCACGTGCTGAAAAATTGCCTTCCACATAAGATAGTGGTTCCGACCTTTTTGAGCACTATAATAATTTTTTGTGCACGTACTTTGTCCTTTTTACAAGGTTTAGTTACAGCAGAGGATTATTTCCGTGCCAATTATCACTAATCGTGACATCAACTTTAACCTTCGCAATACATTTTTAATTAAAAGAGTTATAGAGACTTTATATTTGGAATGCATACTCCACTAATCAAGTTCTTTCAAATGACACCAAGGTCAATGACTTTGTGATCTTGATTGTGACCTATACTTATGCTAAAAATAGCTTTTTTGATCTTGGCCATACCTTTTGAACCATACAAGATAGATAATTCATATTTAGTATCTTACTCCACTAATTAAGTTCTTTCAGGCGACACCAAGGTCAATGACTTTATTACCTTGACTGACCTTTAATGATAAAAAAAGCTATTTCGCCTTAATTTTTGAACATAGGAGATAGAAAAGATTTCGAACTTTTGCTTTAGTTTTTGAACATAGGAGATTGAAACCTCATATTTGGAATGCATACTCCACTTATTATGTTTTTATTAAAATGACAAAAAGATCAGTGACCCTGTGACCTTGACTGGGGCCTATATGCTAAAAATAGCTTTTTCGAACTTTCACCATAAGGGCATAACCTTTGAACTATTTTTCAAACTTTGTTGCCCCCGGAAGCATAGCGTTTTATAAAGACGTCTTTTTATATTTAATTTTGTACTCATATGAATAAGAATTTGTCCAAAATCTTGTACGCGAAAAGAAGAAAATACTTGCTGTGGACTTAAAGCTTCATTTCATCATTTAGACATGTATATATCGACGACGAATAGTCAATTAACAATGCTTCTTTTGTCGATACGATATATGCAGTTGAGCTTAAAATAAAGATACCACAGAGCCTGATGAATCTGTACACTGTAAGATCTGTTTCGTATTTGGATATTTAACTTGAAAAAGACATTAAAGGTAATCTAACAACCAACATATATAATAAAGGCGATGACAAAAATTTCAATCGTCAACTTCCCTTACTTGTGCAGCTATATACCTTCATTACCTGTATACGGAGTAATAATCTCTCAGTTGATTGGATACGCAAGTGCATGCTCTACACATGTAGAATATCTAAAATGAAGTAAATTATTGACAAACAAGGTGATGAAACAAGGAAATCAGCAGTCTACACAATAAGCGAAAGCTTCATTTACATCAGTAACGTTTTCTAAAACGAGGTAATTTTTTGACAAACAAGTTGATCATCTGAGAATATTAGCAGTATTTTTTAAAATTCTTCATTTCGTACGTTCTATGGTCGATACAGTGGCATTGTCAGCAATAACATTTCATCAATGACTCAAATACTGACTGAAGTTTTTCATACTTATCGTTAGTCCATTATTTACACATTAAGTTGACAACGAGCACACGGGGTGTGAGCGGTCCGCAGGGGATGTTCACTCCTTCATGGCACCTGATCCCACCTCTGATGTTTTGGAGGTAGGTGTGTTTGCACTGGTGCTATAGGATATTGTTTTATGGACTTTTAAGCTTGAATATTGTTCGTTATCTCCATATATTTTACTTTTTGTAACACAAATTCCTTTTTTATAAGCTACACATGTCAGGAAAACAACAAAAGAACTGTAACACCCTGTTTCTGAACATGCAAGATATCTTTGATCAACTTGTAAAATATAACAACAGAATTGACTTTATAATTATTTGATGCTTGTTTCATTTTAATGTTAAGATAACAAAAAAAATATATTTTGTGAGTTCAGAAAGGTCAAATAATTAAAACTCTTTCTTTGTTAGAATTTAAAAAAAATCCTTTGAGTTGGGTTAACATGTATTTATTTTTATTCCATGATTATTTGGATAAACAAGAGGCCCATGGGCCACATAGCTCACCTGAGAAGCTTTGACCATTCTGTTCTTTACCAGATTTCCCCCTTGTAATATATAATGCATCCCCACCCTACCCAACTGATCGTAATTTAGACATTTTGAAATCTAAACTACCCAATGATCCTTCCATGTGCACATAAGTTTTTTCCTATATATTTCTATGTAAAACTTTGATTCCTCATTGTGGCCCCACCCTTCTGCCGGAGGTCATAATTTGAACAATTTAAAATCTACACTATACCAGGATGCTTCCACATAAGTTTCAGCTTTTTTGGCCCATTGGTTCTTGAGAAGAAGATTTTCAAAGATTTTTCCTATATATTTCTATGTAAAAATTTGATTCCCCATTGTGGCTCCGCCCTTCCCCCGGGGGTCATGATTTGAGCAATTTAGAATCTACACTACCCTAGGATGCTTCCACATAAGTTTCAGCTTTTCTGGCCCAGTGGTTCTTGAGAAGATGATTTTTTAATGACACCACCCTATTCTTGTCTTTTCTTGATTATCTCCCCTTGTGAGGAGACTTGGCCCTTTATATTAAGAATTTAAATTCCGCTTTAACCAAGGATGCTTTGTACCAAGTTTGGTCAAAATTGGCCCAGTGGTTCTTGAGAAAAAGTCTAAAATGTGAAAAGTTTACAGACGGACAGACAGACAGACGGACAGACAGACCGACAGACAGACGGACGGACGGGCAGACGGACGACGGACAAAATGTGATCAGAAAAGCTCACTTGAGCCTTCGGCTCAGGTGAGCTAAAAACTAATCAGAAGTTATTAACATATGCAAAAGACTATTTCAGTGCAAAAATTGTAATATTAAATATGTTGTAAAGCCAAGCGAAGCATGTTTACCTTTGTTGATTTATTTTAGTATAGATATTTGTATTACGATTGTGTACATACTAGAAATAAACTCTACAAATAGTTCATCAAGATATTTGCATTGCAATACAACTGCCAAATATTCATTCTATAACTGCCAACTATTCTTTCCATAACTTTCCATATTTTGTCCTTCTATTACTCCATAAATAAGTACATCGTACCTGCTAAAATAAAGTATATTAAAACGAGTCTGTATTCATTTTAACAAAATATTAATTAACATGTAAAGTTCTCATAACAGGAAAAGCCTAGATACTGATATATGTACATATAGTTCAGGGTCAAAACACACGTTTATGCATTAGCTAAATTACTCATTCTACATTTTACAATTCAATATTAATGACAAATCACTGAGTCAATAAAGTAATAAAATGGGAAAAAAAATCATGTCAACAGTAAGGATGCTTTTTTTCTGTATCTGAAATTAATCAATGTACATAACGTGCGAGTTTTATAAGTAAGAAGAAGGTACAGTTTGGTCTGTATTGTGTCCTTAAATTCTTTTCTGTTCTTAAAGAGTTGTAAATTTGGGTTAAACAGTAGATGATTAGATGTACATGATAAATCAGTAAGGAATTGTGGATGACCATTCAAAAAAGGTGACGTCATATATAGGGTAAATTTTAAGTTTTATGCAAAACATCCTCAAAATGACTCCTTTTCGTGGTTATTGTCCTTAAGAAAATAATATCCACAGATGTCGCCCACTTCAATTTTTGGATATATTGTGTTAAATACTTAAAAAATCACAAATATAAAAAAAATCACCGTGGGTGATACATGTGCTCTATGTTTTCAGAAAGAAAATCCCACTGAAAATTTATGTCTTCTCCAATTTTTTAAGAAAATACGGGAAAATGCAAAAGTTCATGACGTCACAATAATCATTTTGGAGGTCACATAAGATTTGTAGTTTTTTTACTGTATGGAATTTCAATAATTCAGAAAGGATTAATTTCTTAAATTACTATTATAATTTAGAACAAGACGTGTTTGTGAAACACTATGCGCCTGGCAGCAACAAAGTACGGAAAAAGCTATTTTTAGCACTAAGGTCATAGTCAAGGTCACAAGGTCATTGACCTTGGTGTCATTTAAAAGAACTTCATTAGTGGAGTATGAATACCAAATATGAAATCTCTACCTTTCATGGTTCAAAAGTTATGGTGAAGGTTAAAGTTCGGGACAAACAAACAAACAAACAAACAGACAGACAGACAGACGGACAGACAGACAGACAGGACAAAAACAATATACGCCCTGGATCTATCGATCCAGGTGCATAAAAATACAAGGCAGAATTTGTATTAAAACTGTACCTTGTTCTTTCAGATAATGTATATCTACACGTGTCTTTGATTGATTTTTATAATTTTTATGTAATCGAGGTTTTAAAATATCCTTGAATGTAGCAAGCTATTTTTTCGGAGGATTCTCTGACTCCAAAAACATGTTCATCACGAAAGCAAAAGTATGTTTTAAAAAGTCATTATTTTATTTCTACTTCTTCCAGGATGAATGGCAGCATAGTTAACACATCTTTTACTGAGAAGCATTCCATTAAACTTGGTAGAGTCGGAGGTTTTGAAAAATAAATGTGAAAAATACTTCCAACATTCCTAAGAGCATACGTTGTTTTCTCCATGGATACAATGATGAGAATTGTAAAAAATGCGCCTTTTCTCAGTAGCTCTGCGATGATTTTTCCTTGACGTTTAGAGCATGCAACCATCAATGGCGTCACTTCCGAATGATCAGAAACATTAACATTTGCACTGTTATCAAGCAAAATGTTAACGACATCTATACTTCCTCCACATACAGCATGCCGTAAAGCGGTCTTACCTTCGGCATCTTGACAATTTATGTCTCCAGTTGCCTTAATCAAAATTTTGACAACGGAGGACTGACCTCTAAGAGCTGCTACCATAAGTGCATCATCGACTTTGAATTCACTTATGTTTTCAATAGCTCCAGAAAATAGCAAATAATCTACAATTTCTGTGTATCCCTTTTCTGCTGCAGCATATAGTGGGTCAATTTCCTCAATGTTCTGTGTCACATCTGATCCTTCATCAATCAGTATTTTTACAATATCCTCATGGCCATTTGCAGAAGCAATCCATAATGCATTTTCTTTTCTTTCATTTATCATATTTATGTCTGCGTTATAACTTAACAGATAGCAAACAACATCGTTATGACCCTCACCAGCTGCAAGCATGAGAGGCGTGTTATTGTTCGCTGCATATTCATTCAGATCACATCCATGTTGTTGCAACAGAGATACTATTTCCAATTTTCCATTCTTCGCAGCGATAGTTAGAGGAGTAAATCCATTTTTATCCCGGATATGAAAATCTGCTTTTCTTTCTAAAAGCAGTGAAGTGATTTCTTCGTGACCCTCAGACGCAGATATCCAAACAGCATTTCTTGTATAAGCATCCGTACCATTAACATTTGATCCACTTTCAAGCAAGAGTTCTATTAAATTCGTGTGATTATTTAGAGCTGCTTGCATTAAAGGAGATCTTCCTGTACAACTGCATTTGTTGATTTCAGCACCAAAATTAATTAACTCTTTTGCTACCATATAATGTCCTTGTAATGCAGCATAGAAAACTGGTGTCTCTAGACCTTTGTTAACATGGTTCACATTCGCCCCATTTTTTAGTAAAGTTTTTACAACATTCAAATGACCATATGCAGCTGCAAAGTGGAGTGCTGTATTCAAATTGATATCATTTTGATTGACAGAGCATTTTTTCGAAAGAAGAAATTTAACAATATCATCATGTCCTTTAAATGCAGCAGAATGTAAGGGCGTAATCCCCTTGTTCTCAACAACATCAAGAATCGCGCCGTGATCAAACAGGCATATAACAGTTTCTAGGGAGCCACTTAAGCAAGCGTAGTGAATAGGATACAGCCATGCCTGATCGTGATGATTTACAAGAGCATTTTGTTGAAGTAATAGACATACAATATCAGTGTTTCCATTTCTAGCAGCAAGCATAAGAGGACTAGTGCCACTGTCCGTTAAATTGTTCACATTTTCATCACAGAAAAGTTCCAAAATACATCTGTCATCAATATAGTCGCAAGCAACGTGAAAAGGAGTTGCCCCGTTACTATTCCGAATTGATGTACTAGCTCCATGCTTGAGGAGAATCTTCAAAGTAGCAACACCTCTCTGTCTCTCATTTTCTGACATACATTTATGAAAACTGGTAATTGCCATCGTCAAAGGAGTATTTCCTTGAACATCAAAACAATTTACAGGAAATTTATATTTTAATAAAAAAGCAATCATTTCACTGTGATGTAAGAGAGATGCAATCTGAAGTGCATTTAATGATGAACAATCATTGCAAAACCATTTTTGGTATAAGACACTCTCACCCATTAAGTCTAGGATAAGCCGAGCTACTTGTACGGACCCATTTAAACACGCTGCTAAGAAGACGCTTTTAGATATCATTGTTCTGCCATTTTCTATTCTATCTATGCGTTTTAAAAGTGCTTCGATAATTTTTTTGTCACCATATATAATATACATTTGAAACGGAGATATTTCATGTGCAAGTAAAGCTAAACTATGTTTATTTGTTTCGGCAACTCGCAAGTTTTTATCGATTTCCCGAATCAAACATATCTCTTTTGCACATGATGTCTGTTCTCTTTCCTTTTGTAGTATTTGATTAAACATTATGTAAAATTTATAAAATGGAGACATATTGGAACTAGAGGGATCCTTTGAGAAATAATTGTTAACTACTTGCAATATTTCTTCCAGAACTGTCGTAATATCTCTAATGAAAGACCATATACGTTTACGCAAAAACGGTTCCATCATGTTCATTGTCATTTGAAAACAGTTTGTACTTTCACAAAAGCACTGAAAAGCTTGCTCTGCACTCATATTCCAAATGCAATAAAGAAAATAATTGTTTGATTTTACATTGTTTTCTTTTAGGTTTAAAAGATTTGTGATACTGAATTCCTTTACTGATACCTCAGATGAGTCTATATACCGGCGAGTATCTTTTGTACGAAGCATTATTTCTTGAATCTTTTCATCTAAGCTTTGAAAATTTTGCATTAGGACTGGATCATTAAGGATCATCCTCAAAAGCTTCAATAGTTCTATTACTATCGATTTCAATCTTTGTTTAAATTCTTTTGGATCCGGGTGCTGAATCTTATCTAGTATCATATCAATGTCAATAATATCCATCAATCTCTCAATCATTGACTCAATTACTGCGCCTTCAGTTTCTTCAGTAAAATTCCTTTGCTGGAAAAATGCGATAAAATTATTAAACGATATATCTTCTTCGATTGTACTTTTTTCTGGTGTTACTATATCAAGTGATTGCTCCTTCTTTTGAATGAAAGCTCCAAAAAGAGTCAGAACATATTTGTTATTTACAAATGCTGCCTTAAAGAAAGAATGCATAATAGATCTTTCAGGATAAGTTGTGGTTAAAAACATCTCTTGAAATTGTATGTTATCCATATTAAAAATTCTTTTGATAAAAATATTCTGTATTTTACAATGCCTGAATGATGGACACAAAACTACGTCTATGAAATTGTCTTTCATTTCTAAAAAAAATCTGTCTGCCAGGTCATCTGCATAGTCCTCGTGAAGAATTATTGATAGATCGTTATCGTTTTTTTTTAATGATTTTAGGTTTTAGAAATACCCTTCTCCTTAGTACAGATAGCGGGCAAATCTTTACGAGAAGATCTGGAAAATCAGATGCTATTGTGTATGTTACGACATCCATTAAAAAATCGTGGCAAAATATGTACTTCCCTGACTCTTTCTTCACGAAAACATTCACCAGAGATTCTAATTTTTCACGAATTAATCCTTTTGGAGTTTTACAATCAACAAAACACACCTCAAAAATTTCCTTGAATATGTCGTTTGTGATATTTGAAATATCGCATTCAAGATTGCCGCTTGTTGAGAGTAAGAGAATTAAACTGAAGTAAGCTAATCTATCATTGGTTTTAAAGTATGCAATTTCTTTTGATATTTCTGATACAGGTTCTGTGAAAAATTTACTTCCTTTTTGTCTGTATTTTTCATTACTTCCAAATAAAGAACAAAGCAATGGAAAATAATGTTCTGTTTCTAAAATACGGTTTTTCTCCTTCTCATCAAAATTGCATATATCCGTAAAATGCTGATTCAGTATACACATTTTTTCATCTTTGCTTAACAGAAATTTCTCGTGAAGAGGAACACAATTTGTGTTTAACAATTTGACGCATCTTTTATCATTCTTTATCGCTACTCTGGTTGTGACAATTAATTTCAATCGTTCGCTTTTAAGTATCTTTTCCACAAAGTCTTCTAGTGACATCCATTCACTGAGGAGGCATTCGTTGATTGAATCTTTACCAAGCGGATCGTGCAGTACGTACATTTGGTTAAAAGACACATTCGGATTAGCTAATTCATGAAATTCTTTGATTTTACTAATAGGCACGACACTCCATCCTCGTTTTACATACTTCAAAGCAATATGCTGAGCCATTGCAGATTTACCACAACCAGAAGGACCAACGATGGTTACGATGGATTTTTTATCAACGAGTCTTTCGGTATATTTACAGCCACTGGTCTCGTAGTATTTGTTGTCATCTTCCTCCCAATTGGAGATGATGATTGATTTTTTGTTCGATGCTGGAATATAATATCAAAATTGTATTGCAGTGATAAAAAATTTAATAGAGGAATCTTTATGAATATTCTCTCAAACTCTTTCTATAATACTACCATGTACTTGGCTATTAAAATACTCCTAAGTAAGGGTAAACCCCATATTAATTGTACTTCAAAAATAACTAAAAAGTCTGCTATTGGAAGCAACAGCCTTGCAATAGCGTTTGTCGCCCCGTACTAGACATTCAATTTTTTTCATCACTTAAATAATGCCAATTCGCTAAGCTTGGACAACCATCAACTCGTATCAGTCCTTTTGGTACTTTGAAAATTTAAATTTAAATTTAAAAATTTTGATTTTAAGTTTTCACTTTTGCCCTGTTTCCAAGGCAACTATTGACAATTTGTAAGTTTTAAATGCAACATGCACAATTACAGATATTAATAATTAAATAAAAAAGTTTCATTACGTATGTCCAAGGGATCAGAGAGCACACTCGCGGACGAAACTCGTCGCTTTTTGCAGGTTTCCATGGCAATGGTAGCCTTTTTGAAACTGAATGACCACACAACACAGCTACAACCAGTGATCGTCCTATGAGAAAAGTTTCAGGAAGAATGTGTCCCAGCCATCTCCGAAAAAAATTCGTAGAACAAAAACATGCGTACAATCGCAATATGTCTTCCTTGACTTTTTTCGGGGCGACATAATAAAACCATCGAATATTCATGGCAATATCCCCGAATGCTTATATAATTGTCATCTTAGTTAAGTTGCAAGATCAAATTCCTTTCTTTTCCTTTGTCTTAAAATATGAAAAATTTTTTAAGCCAAAAATCTTATTAGGTCGCCCCGAACAAAGTCAAGGACGACATATTGCGATTGTACGCATGTTTTTGTTCTTCAGGCTGATTCTCAGAGATGGCTGGGACAATATTCCTGAAACTTTCCTCAAAGGACGATCACTGGTTGTAGTTGTGTTGTGTGGTCATTCAGTTTCAAAATGGCCACCGTTGCCATGGAAACCTGCAAAAAGCAACAATTTTGTCCGCGAGTGTTCTCTTTGGTCCCTTGAACATTCGTCATGGAACTTTTCTTTATTTTGGTTTAATAATTGTAGTTCTGTGATTCGCATTTAAAATTTTCAAATAATCAATTATTGCCATGGAAACCAGTGAAAAGTGAAAATTCTTTAACATTGATTTTTAAATCAATGTACCAAAAGGACTGATACGAGTTGATGGTTGTCCAAGCTTAGCTGATGGGTATTGTTTTAGTGATGAAAAATGAAAGTCTTGTCCAGTTCGGGGCGACATACCCTACTGCTTGCAATAGCAGACTTTCTAGTTATCATTATTATTTTAAAACCCCCCTTTTTTTATAAAAAATTGAAATTTAAAATCAATCAAGTACATTACTTAATTAAAGCTACATGTGATACACTTTGTCCGACATATTTCTCCTTCATTGCCTCTATCTGCTGCAACCCTTATACAACGTTAGCTTTTTTGTTAGCTTTCATAAAAAAAGTGAGATTCAGCCAATGAACAGAAATGTTCTTGTCTTGTAAAGTTCTAAAATTTGTTTCAACAATAATGTATTTTAAGGTCAATCTAAAACGTCATTGTAGAAGTAATCTCGCCTAATCGTTTTCCTATTTGTAACATAATGTTGCACATAATAGATTATAGAACCGCGAAATTTTTTTAGTTAAACCTCATCGTGATCATGATGATGACCTTCAATTAATTTCTCTTGGGCGCGGACTTTAGAGAAAGTTCTTCTTATAAATGAATAAAGTCAGTAAGCTTAGGTTAAAATTCTATGAATGACTTAGATTACTAGCATGGTACATATATTTTTTAAACAAGTTCTGAGCTAATGCTCACAAGTAATTCCCCTGCTCTGGTGTTAACATACACATCATTTAAATATGTATACATAAGTTCAGTGATATGGCAAATGCATGGATAGATAGGAAGTTGACATCAGATTAAAATAAAGATTAATCCCACTATATAACATGCCTCAACAAAGAATGTGCTAAAATTTCAAGCATCAATGACGAGAAGAAGCTGAGAAAACTGCGATGAACGTTGTTATGTATGAAACAAACAGACACACGGATGGACAGTAAGATTACATTGGAATCATATAAAAATAAATGCAATCATATGACATGCCTCAGAGAAGATTATGTTAAAATTTCAAGCATCTGCCATGAGTAGTTGCTGGGAAAACTGTGACGAAAACTTGTTATATACAAACCAGAGGAGTCTGAAGTTTTTATGGTCAAAAAATAAATCCAGAAGAAAATTTCCCAGCAGAATTTCAGCGTGTTATGGGGGGACCCATCTACACTAATAAATCTGGGCTTGGCCTGTAAAATCTCGCTGCTTATTCAGTATCCGGAATGTTTATGCTATTTATTTTAGCTAAGAAATTTAATCTTCTTGACGACTACAGACCGTTCTGGCCCTTCTTCCACTTTAAAAGCTTATCCTGGACTCTATGCCACTGAACCGGAAGTGAACTCCGCAGTGAATTTTTGACGTAATTGAAGAAAAGAAACCAAAAAAAAATGCATTTTAATCTTCATGTGCAATTTATTGTTATTATTTGTGATCAATAAAAAATTATATTTCTCGAACAAAATAATGCATTATAAGGTCGCTAAGTATAGCGGTTTGGCTCTTTGTTGACTTGGCTTTTCAGTGATTTAAATTTTGCTCCTTGTAAAAACTGAATTATCTGTCCCTGGTACATATCGTCATATAAGAAAGAAACAGAATTGACATTTTTAAAAAAAAATTTTCTTAAATATATTTTGAATAACGGGGAATCAAATTACGCTCAACAATTTTTTATTTTATGTTATTTGAACATCCTTATACAGACGTCAAAAATTCACTCCGAGATTCACTTCCGGTTTAGTGGCATGGAGTCCAAGAGGAGCTGTCAATGTAGAAAAAGGCCATGTTCGGCCTGTAGTCGTCAAGCAGATTGGATTTTTCAACTTGAATAAATAACAAAAACGCTCCGGATACTGAATTTTCTGCAAGATTTTTCTGATTAAGCCTAGATCTATTTGTTTAGGTGGGTACTCCAAAAACACGTTGCCATTCTGGTGATTTTTTTAAGTGAAGTTGGGAAAAAAATGCGGAATTTTTTTTTTTGTTGACTTTTTTTTTGGGGGGGATGATAAAACTACTGTTTTAGTTTATTAAGTTGAGGGTGAGAAAAAAAGTTACCGGAATGTTATTATTATTTTTTTTTGTACGATAAAAACTTCAGACTCCTGTGGTACAAACGTACATAGGCAATGATGAACAAGAAGTTGACATCGAATTTAATCAAAAAGGCATCCTGTCATATGGCACGCATCAGAAAAGATTGAGTTAAAATTTCAAGTATCTGGGATGAGTAGTTCCTAAGAAAACTGCGACCAAAATTTGTTACGGACAGACAGACGGGCAGACACACAGGGGAAAAACAGTATACCCGCTCTCCTTCGGAACGGTGGCATTATTAATTTTTAAAATAAGTTTAAGCATCCCTTTACAGTGTTAGTGGCAAATAAAAAAATTGCACCCAATGTTATGAAATAAATCAACCGGAAAACAAGATGTGTTTGTAAAACACTATGCGCCCGGCGGCAACAAGATTCAAAAACGATTTTTATCATATAGATCACAGTCAAGGTCACAATGTCATTTGAAAGAACTTTATAAGTGGAGTATGCATAATAAATATGAAGTACCCATCTCCTATGTTAAATAGTAATGATGAAAGTTCGAAAAAAGCTTTTTTTTAGCATACTGTTAACAATCAAGGTCACTAGGTCAATGACTTTGGTGTCACTTGGAAGAACTTAATCAGTGGAGTATGCATAGGAAAAATGTAGTCTGTATCTCCTTTGGTTCAAAAGTTATGGTGAAAGTTTAAAAAACTTTTTTTAGCATAAAGGTCACAGTCACGGTCACAAGGTCATTGCCCTTGGTGTCATTTGTATGACACATGCATACAAAATATGAAGTCTCTATATCTTATGGTTAGAAAGTTATGGGAAAAGTTCGAAAAACGCTATTTTTAGCTTGTAGTTCACAGTCAGAGTCACAAGATCATTGACCTTGGCGATTTTTGAAAGAACTTTTTAAGTGGAGTATGCATATCAAACATGAAGTCTCTACCTCTCAAGGTTCAAAAGTTATGGCGAAGGTTAATGTCAGCTGAACCGGAGCTACTTT